GCAGCACAGGTCTTTCTGGTGTTCTGCGTGGGCTAATTTCTTCGGGAATGTTTAGTATGTCTTTCATTGATAGTTGCTGGTTTTACTCGTCACAAATTGCGTCTGAGCAAAAATAAAAATGCCGCTTCGTTCAGCAACGAAAGACGTAGTAACCGTAGTAGACGTAGAAAGACGCTCAGTAACCCTCAGACCACTCGGGTCGGTTAGCCAGGTGGAGTTTAGAACTAAATCAGTACGACTTTGAGATAATATACAGAAAGGGAGTTCCATCAGAGTGTTGATGTGGGAACAACTCCACTGGCCGTAGGGTATTGACAGAAGGCTAACCGCCTCTACTAGAGTGTTCCACTAGTGGCATCTCCCGAACCTAGTCTTAGAGTGTTGATTTGAGAGGGAACCGTTCCGTTACTAAATGTTGATTAGTCACTCCCCGCTTCTTGCTGGATTGGTCTGTCTACCTTTAACTCAGATTATTTCTTCTCTTTAGCGTCTGTGTATACGCATCGTATTTTCGTTTCTATTTTTATAACAGTAACTGTATTTATTTTTTGCAGGTATCAACAGATGATCATAGCGCCTACGACACGTTAGTCATGATTGACATTTTATTTTTATTGTACATTTTACCTATGATCTAATTTTAATTTGTTATTTATTTATTTCGAATATATTTTTATTTATATTAAAACTGTGAATCTGCTGAATATATATAAAACATCTTTACACTATAATCTGTATTTACTGTGATCATACGGTTTTCTACTAATTATACATTACATTTGATATTATTTCAAATTAAATAGCAAATATTATCTTTTTTTGTATGGTTTATATCTGAGTAAATAAACAATTAAGAGGGATAATAAATGTAATAGTGAAGCGTGCTACAAAATAGCCCATTTATAGTCTAAATTATACTAATGAGACAAAATGATACTGCATCTTTTATTACTAATTTAAAGGCATAAAAACAATACTTGATAATATATACCAATACTTGACAAATTGGGCGACATTAAAAGGTACTTTTAAATAAAAAAAAAATGTTAATATTATTTCAAAATCTGAAGCCCGTAATAAAATCAGACTCACGGCCAAAGCTAAAATGACAGGAATTGCGAATATATTAGTGATATAGAATATAGTTAGAGGAATAATGATGTTTTGATGATAATATGATGATGATAATGTTTTTGAGATGTTAACTTTAGTTTTTATCAAAAAACGACATGAGTTTTCAGTTCTTGCTTATATAACAAATATAGAGGTACAATATAAGCTTAAAGTAGCATTTAATAAAAAAGTTATCGTCATTGAAAGTTTTGCGTCTCAGTGTTCCTACCACTCCTCTAACTGTGACCACCTTCTAATAGTCAAAATCTTCCCCGAAAAGATGATAAAATACAACCTACTGCTACATGAGGCTTTTGTCGACAACGAAAAAAAAATTTGTAAGCATTTATTACAGATAAAAAACTGTCATCAACAATATATATGACATGCAATTTCACGTAGGTATATATTCACGAGAAAATCAAACCATTTCAAATACGAAACTAAACTGATATGCATACGTAATAACAATAAATAGTGTAAGGATGAACAGTCTTAGATACTCAGGTGATGTAATTTTACTTGCAGAAAGCGGAGATCTAAAAACAATGGTAATATAGATAGAAAAATCAAGAGATACGTCTAAAGTCGAATATGGAAAAAATGTGACGATACCGGATAATAAGAAAATGAAGAATAGGATAACCCATAACGAGATGGCACGATGACCTAAAAGTGTTTTCCATATTTGTATAGCCAAAATTGTAATTAATAATTTTAGCATTTTAAATTCAAATTATTTAAATTTAATTTGATTCGAGTTTACCGAAATTACAAGCTGAGTATAGCTGCAAATGTCAACCATGAAATAAAATATTTGGGTTTGGCAGTGTTGGGATGTTTTTATAATTCATATATTGTATGCTTCTAACATAAAGAGAGAAAATTTTTAAAAAGTACATTTTGATTATACTATTTTATGAATTCTGCAATTTTTACTTTTTATGAACAATAACGAGTAAATATTTGTCTCTTTCGAGATTAACTGCTAACATCTCTTGCAAACTGGCAACTGCTGATTTGACGATTGCCAAATCTATCAAAGGGTAATTGCCAAAAAAATGTCTGATATGTGATCTGAAATGTGTGATAATTAACTGCAACTAATCTCCAAAGAAACAAATATTTATTTATTTTTGTTTTATATAAATCAAAAATTGCAGAATTCATAACACAATATAATCAAAATGTACTTTTCTAAAGGGAGCTTTACATCTAGGCTATGCAAGTCTCATGCTATGCAAGTCCGTCTTGCATGGCACATCTCTTGCCTAGCTTGACCTTTTTACATCAGAGATATTTCTGTGCAATTTTAGATCCCACTTTCATTGTTGCCAACAGAGAAAATATTTATCAATTTGAGGTTATTTTATTTTAAATAAAAAATATAATTAAGTACTAAAATAAATAATATAATAAATAAATATACACTATTTATGGTTGTTAAAAGGGTGAAGGATGTCAACCAAAGAAAAGAAAACATTGTTATTGTTGAATATTGCTGTTGTAGCAACAATCATCCATAGTCAACGACTCACCCAGTCGTTTTTACATTAACTTTAGACATAGTATATCTATTTATCACCACTTAATAAACTTAATTTAAATCAAAACACAACAATACACATGTGGGTTAAGGGACGCTAAAGATAAGGTTATGTTTTATTCTGTAATCTATTATAAATTGTTATGTTGGCAACATGAATTTTAACGATAAATTGCAAGAAAATTGCATGAAAAATAGAACATGTTCTAATTTTTCGTCTAGCACAGGAATTGCATGGAAATAGCCCGTGGGCATGCGCAGTTCCATGATCTGTCTTGCATGGCTCTTGCCTAGCATGAAAATAGCATAATGTAAAACTGTCTTAAAGCTTTATCTCTTTATATTTGAAGCATACAACATATACATTATAAAAACATGCCAACACTGCTAAACCGAAATTTTATGTTCCATGTTTGACATTTGCGGCTATAATCAGCTTGTGCTTTTGGAAAACTCAACCTTTAATTTTATTGAATGTAAATTTAATTTAAATCAAACAAAAATTGAAATAATTTATTAACTGAAATGGAAATTAATCACGATTTCAGTTTAAAACATGTTTGTTTCGACGTTTCAATTTCCACTTCGGAACTTGTTCTCCAAATTCCAAAGTGGGAATCGAAATTGTCGTTAATATCTATTAAAAACAGTAAGTAATATTAAAATGCCACAAGAAAATAGCTCCAAAAATTGAAATAAACCGAAAACTTTTGTTAAAAAATATTAAAATGTTAAAAGTGTAATGTTTGAAACTTATTCTGGTTGTTCTTGTTTGTTTTTCTGCAGGTAATATGAATACTTGTCATTTTATTTGAAATTAATTTTAACTAAGTTAACATTCGATGGTTTTTAAATTATTAATTTAATATTTTGTATAGAGTTTTATTTTTAACAAAAATCAAAATTTACCAAATAATTTTGTTAAAAAATATTAATAAACCTAGTATGATTTTTTAAAACTGACTCTGGTTGTTCTTGTTAGGTTTACTACAAGTAATATTAATATTTGCCATTTTATTTGAAATAGATTACAATTGAATTAACATTAGAATTTTTTAATTATTAATTTAATATTTTTAACCTTTGTCAAGAGGCTTTTCGGTCCCTGAAAGGCCATAAACACAATGTTAATATTTTTGATTATTTAGGCCTCCATTAGTAAATTGGATAGTACTTGCTTAATATATTATTATTTTATTTTATTACAGGTACAAATCTTGGACAAGTCGTGGGCTGTTAAATTTTTGTAAAATTCCATAATGAACATTGGCTATGTGATCCTAATTCGAAGAAAATTCATCAATTGTTTTATGATATATTTTTCCCGTCCCTTACATATACATGTGAAAAGTTTGAACAGTTTTACCTGAGTGAAAGATACAATGTATTTTACCCTTTGTTACCTTTCTCTATTACTCTTTCTTATTTTTATTACTATATAGTTTCCTTCAAATTTTGGTAATGCACCAGAAAATTTGCTATTTGTATAAAAATACATATATCGTAAATTCAAAGTCATAGCGACTAAGTTTATGTGTTTGCAACTAACAGCTCATTACAAACGCAAAACTTCAACTAGAGGTTAAGGCTTACCGTCAAGGCCATAAACCATTGCCGTATGGATGTAGTTGAACCCCATAAGGCTTTTTTTTGAAAAATCACGAGTTATATATTAATTTGTTTAGCTACATATACTTTTAAAAAATTACTCTATGAAATTAAAAATTCAACGCTAAAAATAATAAGAAAATACAAAGCACGGATTTTGTAAAAGTTGTACCTTAGGCATATAATTACCTGTATTTTCCTTCCGTTATAAGCCATATCTATATCATAGAATACTTTGTCTCATTAGGGGATAATCTTTTATTAATGACTTTGACGAATTTGAGAAATCATGATGAAAAGGTTGCTGCTGTCAGCACATATTCATGAATGTTAGGGAAATAGGTCTTCTGCCCACAATCCAATCCAATTAAAATTGATAAAAATGAATGGGCTACGGATTTCGCTGTTTACATCTTCAGGCCCTCAAGAAACTAAGGCTAAAATACATAATGTATATACACTGTATGAGAGTGAAGATAAATTTAAAGTACACATACATATTTCTATTCTATTTTATTCTATCTACTTGTCAAAATTGACTGACTATTGATTAAGTGCTCTTTACTACTCACATAACCATGGTTTGTTGTGTCACATACACATTTATATATATATATATATATATATATATATATATATATATATATATATATATTATATATATTATTATATATATATATATATATATATATATATATATATATATATATATATATATATATATATCATGTATTTTAACCTTAGTTTCTTGAGGGCCTTAAGATGCTGTAACAGTTTGTAAACAGCGAAACCGGTAGCCTATTCTGTTTTACCAACTAATAAAAACCTATAACGGATTGTGAGTAGAAACGTATTTCCCTAACATTCCTTGATAAACCATCTTTGGGGCACCTGCCTACGTGCCGAACGAGTAAGGGAAAGTTGTAATGAATTTGATATCACTTCAGTCCATGCGTTAAAATGGCATCATCGTTTCAATTTGTTGCTGCTAAACTTAAAAATGGCGCGTATTCTGTGAGAGAAAAACTATTGTGGTAAATGTTCATGACTCCCTTGTTCATCAACAAACTTTAACAACAGTTAATAATGTAACGACCATGTGCTCCGGTATGAAAGGTGTTATTGAAAGAACCATTTACAGATTTTTAAAAGAAAGAAAACGAGGAAACATTATTGAGCCAAAAAGACATGAAGAAAACAACCAATGGAAATTGATGACTTTCATAGAAAAGTTCATTCGTTCTATTTAAACAAGGAGATTTCTACAGTGTATACAATATTAACCCATTCCCTGTCACGATCCCCATTTGAGACACCTAAAAAAACACAAAAAATTGAAGGAGTGCAAATCATTTGATTAGAATACGTGAGTCGGAAGAAGAAATACACTACGAGAAGTAACTGCTCGAAAGAATAGCGAAGCTGGGATGAATGTTTCCAGAGAATCCTGTTGCAAATATATCCACAAAAGCGGTCTTAGTTTTTATAAGGTATGTTTGATAAGTTCTTTGCGGTTTAAATTTTCTTTTTTTTATTTATTCGGTTAAGATAAAGAAAAACCATTGTTGTCGAAAACTCAAAAAAGGAATCGTTACATTTAGGCTAAATCAAAACTTCCGGAGACTAAATATAACTGGGATAAACTTACCTATAGCGACGAAAGCAAATTTGATGTCTGTGTGGGAGATTATCGAAAGCGTGAGATTCGCGAAAAAACGGAAGCATTCCATAAGGATTGTGTAAAAAGGACTGTAAAATTTCCACAGGGCATCATGGTATTGAGTTGTATGTCGGCCAAAGGGTTGGGAACTTGACATTTTATTGAGGCCGTAGTAAAACGCAGCCAAATATCAAGATATCCTTGAATATTCGTTTCAACCAACAGCAGCAAAGTTATATCCATCCGGAGATTGTATCTTTCAGCAGGAAGGGGCCCCATGCCATACGGCTAAATCTACCAAAAAATGGATGGGAGAACATGACAATAAAGTTTTGTCACATCCTTCTAGCAGCTAAAAAATCTTAATCCAATAGAAGATACTTTGACACAAAATGAAACAACGCCTAAAAAGTAACCCTCAGCGTACTTTGCCACAACTACGTGATAAATTGCAAATAATATGGGATAATTTCACCCCTGAATTCTGTAATAACCTAGTTGATACAATGCCTAACAGAGTTCAGGCTGTTATTCAAGTTAAGGGCGACGTTACGCCTTATTAATTTTTATTTTTATTTGTTAAAAACCTCTTGTTCCAATATTTAGTTGTCAGCATTTTTTGGCTATCAAACAATTAATTAAACAGTAGTCAATATAAAATATATAATTAAACTGTAAAAAGAATTCCATACATCATAAAAATGTTGTTAATTTCAAATTAACAATTAAAAAAGTTAAAATAAAAGAATTTCGGTAAATTGGTATTTTATTTGCAAAATAACTGCCTGTTCCAACATATAGTTGTTATGGCTCATATATTATGTATGCATGTATGTAAATAGATTGTACTTTTCATAAAAAACTAATATTCTCGGTAACAAATGTAATTTATTATATTTTTTATGTACCAAAACTGTGAATGTACTATTTAACCATGCTCTGTTATAATTTTAAAAATAATTTCCTCATGTCTTGTAAGAGGATGGGGTAGACACCCTATTGTGGATTATCGAATCTTGAGCCAAACTGATAGGAATTCACAAATTCTCAGCATTTAATGGTGCCCAGAAAAACTTTCTACTGTTTAATATGCTAAATTTATAGTTTGGCAATACGGCACATGACAAAGGTTAAAACAAGTGAGAACAGGTACCTTTTTTAAAAGGTAGGTGCATTTAGGTGAAATAGTTTATCCTCTTGTTTTTTAATCCAATTCAAAAGCCTACCAACCAGAAGAATGGCTAATGAAGTGTCGATCAAAGGCTCGAAAACAACGAACAATTCAAATCCCTTAGTGTCCCAGGCAAGAATCGCTTCCCTCGAACTCCGTTCAAACATCAGTTTAAGCGGTTTGGTAGAGTTGTGCAGTCTTTGATGGGCTCTCTTGTAAAGTTCAGTCAGGTAACTCTTCGCTTGCGTGTAGGGGGGGCTTAATATAGGTTGATAGAATTGGGCAGTGGATTTACATTTGTACAAATAATGTCGTATTTCAACAAAACCAGCACTAGCACAACTATATCCCGGAGCTGCCAGTGATTCGTTGATGGATTCCAAACAGTTGTTTCTTCTTAACTTTTCTACAATTTTCTGTTTTGCTTCACTCAAAGTAAAAAATACGTCCCTTTCCACAGTTAACAGTAACAAACATGCTTGACAGTCTTCAGATAAGTAAGAAACATGACCGTAGAGGAATCCGCTAGCATCAAATCTAGGGAGACATAGTGGAGTCCAGCTTTCTGAATTTTTAAAACTTTCCGAAGCTTGAACTAAATTAAAAATTAAATGTAAATCGGCTGGATGAAGGCAATATTTCTTCATGCGGACTAGGGTAATGAGTTTATTATTTGCTAAGAGAATTGCAAAGACTAAATTCTGAAAAATAAAAATAATCATTAACATTGAAAAGTATGTTTCTAACTAAAAAAATTCACAAAGTTAATGCAACAGCTTTTATCATCATTTATCATCATATTGCAATAATTTTAATCATCAAAATATCTTACTTAGGGTTCTATTGGGATAAATAGACATTGTTTTCGATGTCATAAGTACATACGGTCTAGGTAAAAGTTTATGGTCGGTATAGTAGAATTTAACGGGATATTTAACACATATATAAAATCATATTTACAGCGAATAGACAAAGAAAACAATCATAAATTTCCCCTTGGTCTCCCCTCAACATTCTTTATACACGCCCATTAGGGAACGGCAGACGATTATTTCCGATCCAGTTTATACGTAAGAAACGGCGGCAGGGTTGCTTTATTACATATTTGAATTAAAACATTGAATTGATTTAGAAAATTGGCGATCAGTGGTGCGGTTATAGTGCCATTCAAAACTGGATGATGGTATTAGAAATGAAACATTAATTGACTCAAATACTTGAACAAAATTTCAAATACACGAAAAATCTACAGGTTCGCATTTTTATTTGCGAAATTGTAACCCAAAATTGAATAAAACAAGATAATTTTGGCAACATCGCCATTCGTCCCTTCTCTTGAATGGTAAATTACATACGAGACAGGCCGAATGCTATGCTATGTATTTCTTTTTGGAGGTAACTTTGTAAGTGTGAAGGTAAGAATTAAATATGCCGACTGTTTGTACAACTGAAGAACGGATACAAATAATAAAATGGTACTTTGGGGGCAATTCAGTACAAGAAACTATCAATTTATTTATTATGGCTTTTGAAAATAGGCCAATACCTATAGAAAAAACATCAGATCAACCTCGCGAGACACAAGACAATATTTTTTCAAGAACGAGAAATTAGAGAAATTCAAGTTTGTGCATTGGCTGAAGCGATGCCGTGTTCAAGTAAACAAATTGCCGATGAAGTTGATTTGAATGCAAAAACAGTGAGGAATATTTTGAAAAGAAACAACTACCATTGTTATAAAGTACAGACAACTCAAGAAATATTTCCTGATGATAAATTTAAACGGATGCAATTTTGTGAAATTAGGATGGAGAGATAACACGCAAATAAAAATTTTTTTAAAAATATTTTGTTTACAAATGAGTCCTCCTTCACAATTCACAAGAAACATAACCCATCTCTAGATTTTTATTTTTGGGGGATGCTAAAAACAAAATTTTACAGGCATGAGTTCGAGCGAGCCACCAACTTGAAAGAACTGAAGGAAAAGATAATCCAACTTAGCCAAAACATATTGGCAGATGAACTCAACGCCATGAGAAATGCTTTTAGATTTGGTTACTGTTCGTTACAATTTGGTGGTCTGTTTGAACATTTAATTACCTAAGAATTTGGTTTAGAATTTCAAATTTTTTGGAATTATTTTTAATTTAACCAGTAGTGTTGAAATTATTTTTTATTTGATTTCATTTTTATAGGACAAATTTTATACTAATTTTACCATTTTTGGTTTTATTTTTATAGAACTAATTTTTATTTTCACACCTACTACCTCTAAAAAATCTAAACGAAAATATGGTTTCAAAGATATTATTTGGAAAATACCAAATAATATCTTATTTTTAATTAAAAGACGTAATTTTTCGTCCAGTTTAAATTTAATATAATACACCTGCTCCTTCCAAATGCTTTACTAGTATTGACTGTCTTTGTATTTATTTATTATGATTTATGAAAGAACAACCCACTATAAACCGTGCAATACGCATGACATATCAAACTAGTTCTGTTCTATAGAGATGAGCGTTGAATCAACTAACTGTTTTATTCAACAGTTTATTTGTCTTTAACGAATCTACGGTTTCTCACTGAAAAGCTAACTAGTAGTTTATGTAGACGTAAACAGAGGAAAAATGAACACTTCACGTCGACGAGGACAATTAGTTGATCTGAGAGATTACTAAAAATAACATTCCGACTCTTTCGGGACGGTGGACAGTCGGGCGATCGGTTGACGTTGAAAAATTTCAAATCTTTATTGATAGTTCGTTTAAGGATTTATGTATTGTTTAAGTCTTTTTCTTAGTTAAAATTATTTACCTAGTACAACAGTAATACTTTTATTTTCAAAAATGCATATTTGTAGACGATGCAGCTTTTATGCTCGACTTTCTGAATTTTGCAATGATCGATTATTTTTAATTTGAAATATTAACACATAGGAGTACCCGATTCATGTTTTGTATTATTCAGCAAACATAATTTTTATTTGGAGTTTTTGTTTTGTCTAACGTAAATGTGAATTTATTCTGTGAGTACTGAATATTTACTTTATTAATTGTTTGTGTGCCTAACATGTCTGCGCGTAAAAATGTTAGTACTTTATGACATCACTGTGAGAAAGACATTAAAAGTGAGAAGGCTGTATGCCATATTTGCAAAAATACACTTTTTCTCGTTACTACAGTGTCTTTGATAACTGATAACTGGACGTTGCCAAATAATTTTGTACGAAGCTTCTTTATTGTGGTGTCATAATGCAGCCTATTATTTTTATTGGGAATAAAGCTAATGTGACTTTAAAATAAGCTTATTTTGATGTTTGAATTTCCAATTTGGAAACCGTACTTAAAATACGAAATATTAATAAATTTTATTTATATAAAACGATTTCCGAAGTGGAAATCAAAATGTTAAATTAAATTTATTGTAAAGGAAAATTGTGGCATATTTAAAATAAAAAACAGTAAGTTGCCATTTAAATCAATTCGCCCAAATTTGATTATCTAACATTGTTAAAATGTTAAAAAGACAACAGGTCAGATAAAACGAATAAGTTTGGCAACGTTGAACTTCCCCTCTTCTGTTGAATTTATTATTTCTACTAATGCATTTTCGGCGATGTAAAGAGCGGACCTAATATACCTTTCTCTTTTTAAACAGGTGTTTCTCACTCCATCTCACGTAAGGTACATACCGACCATAAACTTTTACCTACACTGTACGTATACTAATACATGTTTTTTACAAGGATTAGATATTTAGCGCAATTTGTATTAAATAATGAGCACGTTCAGTTAATATTTTCGGCTTGATCGACATAATTCTATAAACATAAGAATATAATGAACTGGTACATTAAACTTGTCATAAATATATTTGATAGATAGAAATAATACCAACCTTAATTTTGCTACATGCTCCTACAATAGCTGAACTAATACTGTCCCTGACAGATGCGGCAAGTGAGAGACACTGAACTGCACCAAGCATCACAGATAGTTCATTTTCAGAGAATGTTAGAAGGTGATCGATTAATCTCTCAACTCCTGATAGTAACCTCCTTAAATCATAGTTCTGTCTTTGTTCATAGATTTTATTTAGCCTTGTGAGGGTTAAAATACTTGTTATTTGATTAAACACATAACTAAAATAAAACATATATATTTATTTAAAATTTTTAAACGGAACTTTAAAATGTCGTACAGTTATGTATATTGTATGTTCAACTGCAATAAATAAAAAATATCAATAAAAACGCGACTTAAGAAAAGATTTGTAAATTCCGTAGTCATTAGGTGCTTTGTTTTAGATAATTTTGCAATGAAAATACGATAAATGTTTTTATTTTAACGTTTTACCCAAAGATCAAATTTGGTCAAGTAGAAATATCTAATTTTTTTCCTAGCGATCTATTTTGAAACATTGTTGTACTTTTTGAACTGCGCTGCTGACTCTTCAGTCGGCTCTCCCGTCCCTTTTAGTCTAGTGGGAACGCAAAGTACTCTTTGTTTACAATATTTATAATGTAATTGTATTGTAGTTGTCCATAAGTTTAAAAATTGCTAACTTTTTTAAAACTTTTTTACATAGGTTATTAGTAAATGTCTTAACAAAGAAAATCCCGGATTATTGAAATCCATTCAGTCAAATTATCTGAACCAGCCTTAGAAATTGACTCCTTTTTCAAAAAAAAAATCTTATAAACAAATTCAATTTCGCAAAAACTATTCAACCAATCTAGCCCATCTTTTGTATACAATTCAAACACGATAAGATCTTTTATTTTAGATACATTGAAATAAACTTTAATAAATAATAAAAAAAGTTTAAATAATATTCAAAAACAGCCATTTTGTTCTTCATTTTGCAATAACCTTTTTGTTTACTAACCGATTTTAATTTAATCACATTTTGTGTATCTTATTTGAAGCGAAGCTTCTATAATGGCGTTGTATTACGTTTTTTCTCTGCTGTAAAATGCCGAGGTGAGCGCCACGGAACTTGCGTCACAAGATGACGTCGTCACGGGTAGCATCATAGGATAGCGGTTCTTGGCATCGATTCACTACTCTGATTAATTGATGATTTCTAGTCATCATATATTTACTCTAAGCAGTTTTAAATTAAAAACTGCATGAACAATAACCAAGAAAATATAGACATTTAATAAGAAGAAAACAATTAAAAGAATATCTGTCACTAAAAGATTCGATTCGTAAACATTGTCAAAATTTAATAAACGTCATAAATACCATCCGAATAATAACAATGAATCATAATTCTCGTTTTAAAATAATTTCATATAAATGCAATTATTATTTTTAAACATATTATTTAGTTTATATAATAATTAAATTTACTATCAAATTATATTTATTTCTATTTTATTAATAATATTTTGTTTGAATTTGAGAGGTTTGTAGTGTATTTGGAGTCGCTTCATTGTTTCCAATAAGTGTTTTCCGCCTGCGATCCAATGCCTCACAGTCAAACAAGATATGGTTGACTGTTTCAGGTTCTCTGCTACAGTCTGGAGTTCAAGTTTCCATGAAACAGTCCCATTGTTATGCAGGTGTCCCTTAATTGGCGTATGTCTAGAAAGAAAGCCTGTTCATCAGCTCTGAACTGATTCCTGTTTGCTTTCCGCAGGAGTTTAGCCATATTAGCACTTATCTGTCCAATATACCCATTTTCATGTATTTGACCGGTTATATTTTCCAGGTGTGAGTAGTGTTGGCTATGGATCCAGACTTTTTCCGGTCGCGGAAGTATTTTGCAGCTGATGTGCTCTTCTGGCAAGTGAATCAACTCTTTCATTGCCATCTATTGCCCGATAACCCATACCAGTGTAACATTGGCTGAAATGCAGAGGTATTTGTCCTAGTGTAATAGAAATATTTAAATTTCATCACTACTGAATATTCCTGCAACCGATCTGTATACCAGGTATAACACTGCAGTCTGGGTCTGGAGTTTCCTCTGCCTCATCGCTCTCGTGGACAAATTTCCACTTGGAAAGGTACTTCAGCCTTGTATCTGGGTGCCATATGGTCAGAAATCATCATCCATTCTGCATTTCAATTAATTTATTAGGTTACTCTTTCCTAATCTAACCGTTACGTTGCTCAGGTTTTTCGAAGATTATAATATCTCATCCTTGCCCCTTCTTATAATTATATGTAAAGGAGGGAGATCTACTATGGCCTCCATAGCTGCCGTTGGTGTGCCAATCATAGCTCCTCTGATTCCAAGGCAAGCAAGTTTTGGCACCTGTCTTCGTTGGATAATGGCACTTTTTTGCTGCACCTTTGCCCACCATACCACTGATGCATAGTAATTGTGGATTTTACCACTATTTTATAGATTCCATATAACATGTCTGGTTTTACACCCTACAAAGTTTATTTCACTCATTATCATCATTTTGGCTTTACAACCCTGTGTGGGTCCTAGCCTCCCAAAGAATTCTTTTCCAGTCGTCCCTATCCATCGCCTTCCTCCGCCAAGCACGTATTTCCATATTTCTCATATCATGGTCTAGTTTATTTCACTTATGCGCTAACAGCGAGAGATATGGGTTGCTGCAATTAATTCTTCAGGGGAAAATAGAGGGAAAACGAGCACCAGGAAGGCGAAAGGAAGAATTTCCTGGCTGAAAAATCCACGTACGTGGTTCCACACAACAACCACAAATCTTTAAAGAGCCGCAGTTTACAAAATACAGATTGCCATAATGGTCGCCAACATCCGAAACGGATAGGCACTACAAGAAAAGAAGAAGGGGGCTTATGTCAGTCCTCCATTTGAAATCAATTTTGTAACTATAGTCAGACCCTGTTGCATTATATCTCTGACTGTGCCATTAAATTTGCCGTGGGCTAACATGACTAGATAATCCGCATATCCCAGGACATGATACCTGACCTGTTGCTAAGTCTAGCTCTCAGACCATCCATGACCAGATTCCTCAAGAGAGGAGATAAAACCTTGTGGAGAGCATCTGGCTACCTGTGCTGATACTGTATTCCCCAGTAACGTTTTTGTACTTCCCTTCTGTAGAAGTATTGGATAAATCTCACCCGGCTCCGGTGATTTATATTGTTCAAATGAGTTTATTGCTCATTTTATTTTGTCCTGGTTTACCACTTATTTTGCCACACGTCAGTTTTCTCCAGAGCCATATTGCGGTTGTAGATTTGTTGAACCATTTTCCTAGGTAGTATTCATTTAACCACGTATCATAAAGGTTGTGTGTTTCCGTGTTTGCTAATTATCATTTGATAATAAGTCGAAAATAGTTAAGTGACAAAAACTGGTAAGATAATCCAAATTACTTTTGAATTGTTTATAGTCCGGGCGCTTGGTTAGAAATAATGAAGGGCACCTAGTGACTGCCAGGATTGTTGGTTCTCGTTAAAATGATCCAACAAAATGCGGGTCCGCAAACACCTAACGAGGTACTGTTAATACAACAAAATAGTGCACTCTTTCAGGAAAATTATGCAAGGTCCCAGAATGAACAGATGCTGTACACGGCATGGAAACAGACGGAAATGGAAAAGATTTACGCTACGGATAGGATAAATCAGCTCCAACTCCAGTTAGATACCCTACAAAAATTAAATGAAAGCTTGCAATTAAAATTTGCAGATCTAGAGAAAAACTAGTCCAAAGAGAAAGAACCTAAGAATGAGGAGTTTCATACTGACGATGAGGAATTAGCTAAGGAGACAGAGTGGATACGTGTCAAAAACTTCAAAAAACGTAAAATGGATACATCATTGACCCCACCACAAAAAGAGTCATATATCCAACAAAGAGAAGAAAAAACCAGAAAAACACAAATCCCACCTCCAATAATTGTGGAGAGTATTGCCGAATTTAGCCAATTTCATGAATTAGTCAGACTACATACTGCTAAATTCCAGATAAAAGTACTTGGAGACAAGAGCGCTAAAATTAATGTCGATAGTGAAGAAGACTTCAGAAAATTAACGAAAAAGTTGACTGAAGTAAATTATCCATGGCATACATATGAAAATAAGCACAGCCGACCCATTAAAGTTATGGTCAATAAGTTACATCATTCAGCCAGTAAGGATTCGATCATGAACGATTTAAGTAATAAAGGATTCAAGATAATAGATGTCATACCAAAATTAAAATACAAAACAAAGCAACCACTAAATATGTTTATGCTGGTATTCAGAAATGACGAAAATATCAATAGAATCTATGAGATCTCAGATATCATGAACGTAAAAGTACAAATACTTCCGCTCAGAAAATCAAAATTGGTACCTCCATGTAAGAGATGTCAGGCATATGGACACACACAAGGTTACTGTTCGAAAGAACCGAGATGTGTCCGCTGCACAGGAAAACACCTAACAGCCAAATGTGAGAAACCCAAGGACGCAAAACCTAAATGTGTCCACTGTGGAGAAGGGCATCCGGCTAACTATAGAGGATGTATCGTGGCAAAGGAAATACAAAAAATAAAAGATAAACATAACAAGAAACAGACCTTACCCAGACAACCTCAAAAAATGCATCCAAAACCTGTAGAAAATCCAAAACAAGAAGAAAACAAAACAAGAACTTATAGTATGGTAGCAGCTGGTAAAAGTAACGAAGGAAACTATAGTAGTCAAAAAGATCTTAAAATAGAACAAACACTACAAAAAATATTAGAGAGATTAACTAACCTAGACGAGCGTATAACCAGAATAGAATATAGCACCAAAGGAGCTATACCTAAAAGACTTGGTAATGGTGGGTAATTTACGAATACTAGAATGGAATGCAAATGGGATCTTGAAACATCAGCAAGAACTACAAGCGATACTAGATATAGAAAAAATAGACATATGCCTCATTTCTGAAACCCATTTTACGAATGAGTCATATATTAGATTTAGGGGTTACAAAACTTATACTACTCACCCTGATAATGCAGCCAAAGGAGGTAGTGCAGTAATAATCAAGGAAAATATTATGCACTATCAGGAAATTGGATACAGAACAAAAGAATTTCAGGCCACATCAGTAAAAATTAAATGTAAAAATTATGAGGTAATCGTCACAGCAGTTTACAGTCCGCCAAGACATACCATCAAGAAAAATCAATACGTAGATTTCCTG